AAGCACTGTCTGACGCGTCTGCCTCCGCGACCCGAGAGGAGAAGCGGCGATGGAAGATGATGATGATGATGCATCCATAAACATTCATTATATTTTACACCTCAGAAATCCAAGGAAATACAAAAAATACACTGTGCCAATTAGACTACATGATATGGGTAATCAAGTTAATTATTCGTCGAATAAGCTGTTAGGTATTCAACATATAACGACTTTTACTACTGACCTTTACGCAGAAATTCATCGCGTTGATGAAGTAGTTTATTCCTCGTGAAAATAGTGTCTGCCGCACACCCATTCAATGATTTTAACTGAGAAACTAAAATGTTGAATGTAACGCAATGTAAGAAGTCATACCTCATTTGCTTACTCAGTTCGGGACTGATTATGTAATACTTAGACATGTGATTTTCCGCCATCCTTGCACTTCACAGAGCTACGAATGTAATTCCATATACAAGATGCAGATCAATGAGCATCAGATGGTCAAGTCGCCTAAAATCAGTCATTTTTAAGTTGCGCTACAAAAAATTTGAAATCGCATTTGGTACTTTTAGTCATTGCTACTGAAAATAGGCAAATTTTTAGATTATAAAAGCGTTCAATGCTAAATTGGAACAAAGAATTCCACTCTAAACTAGTATGAGAACTTTAGGCTTACGATTAAGACTTTACGGCATTACCAGTGAACGCCATTTTTTCAGCACAAATCAGAATAGGTTTCCAGCCATTGTCTTCTCTTTATATTCACGTCAGTAGCAAAAATCACTGAGTTAACTGACATCATACATCATATGCACATTACATGCGATTTCAGAAGTGTGATAAATTTAAACAATCAGAACTATGACGCTTACCTCTGCTCCACTTCTAAATGGTCTCTCCTTTAACTTTAAATCTGTGCGACTATTTTGCAGGCTATCGTCAGCCGTTTCTAAACATTTTACTTATTTAAGCGCTTCACTGAAAGACCATATCCAGACTTTGTCAGTACCACATCCTTGAACGAGTGTGATCGGGTACTGTGTCGACTGTCAGGTACATACTTTAAAATCAATTTAAATAACTTGCATTATAAACGATTGAATATTTTACTTTTCAGCATGGAAATGTACGTAAGCTTAACAAGTCATAACGAGCCTATGGCAAGTAATAGTTAAGTAAAAATTTATTAAAAACAATAATTCCGAAAGGAAGCGAAAGAAGAACAAAGAGTTAGAGAATAACGAAAATTTGTCAGCGAACTAATATACTGCCAACTATCTCTTAATTCAAAACTCTTCCTATGCGGAAAAAGAGTTGACCGGTCTGGATGAAGTTTCGCAATGTTTCGCACATTCATGGAATAATACTGGCGCAAAACCGGTGAACGAGCATAGGCCTGCGAAATGACGTCCTGTAAAGTACTATGCAAATTTTATCGTTTCAGTCGAATAATAGAAATATTTCTAGCAGAATAAACATTCGTTTGTACAGAAATAATAAATAAACTAACCATATGCAGTAAATCAGATCTAAGCTTATTCTAGCTTATACAGCAGCATGACTCTGTAACCTGATACAAAAAATGTCATAATATTGATTGGGGCAGGTAATCGTTTAGAATCGGAGCAAAATATGTTGGAACAAAAACAGCTAAAACTTTATGCTGCACAGTGATTCATTAATTGAACTTTAGCAGCTCTGGCTCCTTGACAAAATGAGCTAATCCTACGATGAATATATGACAGTGAAGCTAAAGGTGAGCTTATGCGCTTGAAACAGTTAACTCAAGTATGAAGTTCGTTGCAAACAGCCGCTTCCTCTTTGAGGCTGACTTCGCATTACCTCGAATAACTCGCCAGTTACATTTTAAGTGGCCTGAGAATGGAATCGTTACGATGTTTTTAAACTGTGTAGCATCGCAATCAAAGATCAGGACATGAAAGAGAGCTTTTCCAGTGTCATCCTTGCCTGATTTAGAGTTTGTATTTTTTTCTGATCGTTAGTCAGCTATAATGTCGGACACAGCAGTTGCAGTCGTAAAGCGCACGCAACAGAAAGAGTTTCGCAACCTGAGTGGGATTGCTAGAGAAGTGGTTAAGGAATTCAGGCATAAATCGTTTATTAAAC